GATTGATTGATTGATTGATTGATTGATCGATCGATCCCAAGGGGAAATTACAGAAATGCAGAGTTGTTAAGTAACTAAGTACAAATACTTTGTTATTGTACTTAAGTTAAATTTTTGGGTATCTGTACTTTACTTGAGTAATTATTTTTCAGCCTACTTTTTACTTCTACTCCTTACATTTCTAAAAAGGGCAAGATGTAGAAAGTCGTTACTTTTATTTCATTTTTGCTCGTTTTCATTCCAGCTTGTTATTGTAAAAAATAAATATTATCCAAATAAACTGTGCGTCCTAGATAGAGTTAATTTTATTGTGATTGAATGAGAAGTATAAATATGTAAAATTCTGATAGGATTGTACTTAAGAAGTATTTGTATTTCATGGATTATATTATTACATTTGGCTGCAGCCCTCAGATAGATTTTTATTTTGGGGAAAAGTTTTGAGCAGCCTTGATAATGTTTATAAACTGGAACAGCTGGACTAGTGCATCCTAAATTTAACCTAAATTAATTATTTTAGCATAGTATAGTCATTTCTGCATTTTTTGGGGAGGTCACCTCCTGATAAATGTTGTCACAGAAAATCCAACTGCTCATTTTAAATCAATACTTTTACTTTTAATACTTAAGTACAAAATATATCAGATACTTTAAGACTTTTACTCAAGTAATATTCCTAAAGGAGACTTTAACTTTTACCCAAGTAGTTATTTGGGTAAGATACTTGTACTTGTATTCGAATTCGTGGTACTTTATACAGAGTGGATAAATGAAACTCTAACAGAGAAAAAGCCCTCCTTGTTTGTGTGAATCAGTAACAYTTAGCTGGATACTTCAGGACCTGAGCTAACTGCTGTCTAACCTGTTTGATTCCAGCCTCAGATCCATCCTTCATCCCTTCAAGTAAAGAAGAAAAATGAATCTGTCGTGCACGCTGAGAAAACGTGCGCCACGTGCATAATTTATTATTCAAATGGCGTGTCTGTGTGCGTGTTTGAATCCGTGGACGTTCCTTAACACGCCTGGAGGTGACCCTCTCTGCTGACAGGCTAAATGATGAATAATGACTGTGCACCTTGAAAAGTCTGAGGAACACACAAACATCAGCAGGCCCACTGTTCTGCTAGCTTTTATTACACTCATTTGTGTGTGTGTGTGTGTGTGTGTGTGTGTGTGTGCGTGTGTACAGAGACAGAGTTGTATTAAATGATATTTTACTCCCCTCTTTATCTTCCTTTTTATAATCTTTTTATTCCGTTTCCCCTTTCACCCATCACTCATCTTTCTTTTTTTACTTTTCTAATATTTGACTTTTGTCTGCTCACACTTCTGCTCTCCTCTGTCCTCGACACCTTCTCGTTTCAATATTTGCCTTAGTCCTTAAACGCTACTTCTACCCCCGCCACTCTTTGTTTTTATCCTCCTTTGTTTCCTCYATTGTCTGTAATCCTCTTTATGTACGTTGCTTTGTGTTGTTTTTTAATACGCCTCTTATCTGTCTATTGTTCCCCCCCGTATAATAGAATTTCTTACATTTTTAGTAAACGTATAAATCATCCTTCTCTTTTCAATTTGAAAAGGTCCAGTGTCGTGTGGGTCTTCAACATTGTTCCGAAACTCTTACCTGACTGCCAGTGATGACATCAAGCAAAACCAGGTGAGTTCATGAGCCTCTTTTTTTTATTCATACACACACCTACACACACAGGTGCACATTTTTTTCTTATTTTTTTATACCAGGGCTCTCTTAAAGGGGCAATATTGTGTGTTTCTCGGGCATAAATTTAAATACTATACCATAATAAAGTATCTATATCACCTTCAGCTGTCATTAAAATGCTGTTTTTATGTTTAAATATGTTAAAGTATGAAGAAAATAAACTTATCTTCACATCACTTCCTCTTTTAAACACCTTGAAATTGGCCTCTGTCTCTTTAAGAACCACCTTCCGCTTCTGTCCCACCTATTTCAACGTGGGGGGGTGGGGGGTGTCGTGCGCTATGATGCAGTTTACTTGGCATCTGAAAATACATTTTCCTCAAAGGTATTTTGAATCAGAAAAAGAGATTCACTGAGTGACAACTAMTGTTAGGAGCTCAGCAGACAGTTTCAGTTTCACTTTCAGTTTCACCCGTTGTTTGCTTTTTTACTGCCGAGAGCCTGCAGGAGTCATGGGCGGGGTGGAGGGGCGCTCTGCCATGAGGAAGTTCAGCTTAAAGACACATTCCAGATGCGTTTCTGGTACCAAAAGGTGTTTCTGGTCCCCACCTGTCGTTTTGCTCCTCAGCATGGCTTCCTAAAAACGCTGCCCGATTTGTCAAACATGCATGAATGAGTCAAAGCAAGGCTTTGGGCATGTTTTTTATGAGAGTTTAGCATTATAACATGATATAAAATTCAAAAAAAGGTTGATTTTACATGATATTGCCCCTTTAAACTGGCATATGCTGCCAAAGCGAGGCCCTTATTAGGACAGACTGAAGCAGGATGAAAAAGACACATGAGGTGCAAACAAAAAAAAWGCGTGTCTGGGTGTGATAAGCGACGATCTGGCAGAGCATGAGACAAACACTCACCTTCGGCTCAGGCTTTGTCAAACCGCTGCAACCAGGAAACCCGGCTGGCAATTAAAGTCCGTTTGATTGCACTAATTATTTGCTTCTGTTTAATGTCTCTGCTGGTGAAGAGGGAGGGATAACAGAAAGCATCACACCCTTTGACGTGGAGAGATTAGAAACGAAAACTTGGGTTCGATCTCCTAAACTGCTTTAATTTTCTAATTAAAGCTTCGGCTTTCGATGCCGATGGTTAAACTTAACCAAATAAATGTAATGAGTTTGTAGCCGAGGGGATTTTGCTCACATGATTGCGCCTCATATTTGTGCTCTAGTGTGTGTGGGTGATAGTGTCTAATGCAAAATTGCCCCTGAAATGCCTGCATGTAATAAAGACTTCACAGCATGAGCCCTCCTGTCAGAGTTCTGTTATCCTTTCAAACCCCTTTTCCCCTGTTTGTTCACTCTCTGCCTCCTCATCTACCTTTTCCTCCCTCCCCTCTGTCACTTTGCTCCCGCTGTCCACATTTCCCCACCTCTGTTGCTTGCTGCACCCCCCCCCCMCCCCACCCCACCAGACTCCAGCCCAGCCTTGTGTCGTGCCCCCTCAGCCCCAGCAGGACAGCCCGTCGGCAGCAGTGCTAAATGACTACGACCCCTACCCCCCTCCTCCTTCCTTCCCCCAGCCTCAGCCGCCGCAGCTGCCGCCTCACAGCCAGAGCCGGAGCTTCGACGAGGCCTTCTACGAGGACCAGGGACCGCCGCCCCCACCGTCCCAGCCACAGCCGCCACTGCAGGCGCAGGCCCAGCCCCAGGCCCAGCCCCAGCCCCAGCAGCCTCCGGGCTCCGCCGGACCACCCCGGGACCCGCGGGAGGATCTGAGAATGCACCTGGGCCTTAAGTCCACCGGCAACTACGTAGACTTCTACTCGGCCTCTCGGCCRTACAGCGAACTGAACTACGAGACCAGCCACTACCCGGCATCACCCGACTCCTGGGTCTAACTGGACTGACACATCTGACGATGGGTGGGAGGGGGTCTGTGTGTGCTTGTGTGAACGGGATTATTTTTTTTGCAGGAGACTATAGGAGCTGATTAACTTGAGGTTGATGTGAGCTGCATTTTGCAAAAGGACCTTGTTGCCCAGAGCAGATTTTTTCTTCTTCTTTTTTTTCAAAAAAAAAATTTGGAACAAAGCTGGAAAGTGAAATCAAAGCGACAAAGAGAAGACTGTGCATGTGCATGCAAACATTTTGTTGTTTTACAACCACTTTATTTGTTTGAAGTTAGCTCCATTTCATCCCTAAGTGGAGGTGATGGGAGTCGATGCGAAGACGTGCGCTTGACGAGCTGTGCAGGGAGCGGGGGAGGGAAAAGCAGAAGAGCACATGCTTCAAGTGGAAGAGGGAGTATGAAGAGGGGGAAAAACTGATGAGGTAAAGCAGTTCCTCAGTAGGAGGAGTGAGGAAGTGGTTCGTCCTTAAGCTGCAGAAAGAAAAAGGATAGAGAGATTAAAAAAACAGATGGCATRAAGGTTCCAGAGGAGGTGAGGAAAAAGAAAAGCACAGAAAAAGATAAAAGCACACCAACCTCAAGGCAAGAAGCGGATGTTTACCATTTCACCAAAGTGACAAACGTAGCACTGCTTTTATTTATTATTTTAATTTCTTTTTTTATTTTTTTTTTCTTTATTTTTTTACCTTGTTGCCTGTAGAAGCTCAGAAGTTTGTTTTAAAGGAATGTCATCTTCAAGAGACTTTTAACCGCCATTATTTTACTTTTCTATACTTACACGGTCAGAACCTTTTTTTAAATTTTCTGTGTACAGTGAAAATATATGTGTATATTACACTTTTTTTTTTTTTTGATGAGCTGCTCTTAATTTAATGATTTTTATGCCCATGACTGACTAACCGGAACAACAAACGAGTCCAAAACAACAGAAGCACGTAAAAAGAAAAATGCTGGATGTCAGCAGACAGTGATTCACTTATCTTTCCCCCCCATTTCCCAGCCAGAGAGGAAGTCCTGTAATATTTGGGATTTTCTCTTWCTATCAAGTAAAAAAATAAATAAAAATTAAGTGGACATAATCAGACGTTGAGAGCAGCTTAAGGCGGAGCAGCTTTGTTCCCCGATCTCAATCCAGAAAAGTGCTTTTTTTGTTCTCACTGCCAAAACAATATACAGATGTATGTTTTAAAGCACACTGTCTTCAGAAAAAGGGTTTGGGAGATTTAACAGTGTTCAATTTCAGTGGGATGTCATCGTTACTTTCGCATCAAAGCCGGTCCAAAAAAAAAAAAGCTAAATCCGTACAGAACATGGCAGTGTACGAGGAGAAAAAAAACAAAAAGAGATATGACATTGTGCCAAACTTTGACAGATGGAGGACCTGTCCTCAAGGACTTGGGGGGGTGGGGGGTGGGGGTTGTCGAAGTTTACAGACAATGACTTGATAACGTTCTCTGCTGTTTGTAACTTCTCTTTTCTTGTGTTTTAATCAGGTGAAGCCGTACTTATTGCTGGGTAACTTCTCCCTCCTGTAGATGTACAGACCTGCCTCTCTGTGTTGGCTGAGCATGTGTGTGCGTGGTTGGATTTCGCGTGTGCGCGAGTGTGTGTGCGTGCACGTGAGTGGCGGATTGCGTGCACACATAAAACCTTGAGCAAGTGCATCTATGCATGCATGTGTGTAGTAATGTGTGTGTGTGTGTGTGTGTGTGTGTGTGTGTGTGTG